TTATAACTCCCCCTGTTCAGAACCTCTTGCGCACAAGGCCGCCCACGTGGATGTAGGTTGAGCGGCGGCTGCCCCCACCCCCGTGTGTCATATCGACCCTTAAGTTTGGACCTTCCCACCCCCCACCCCCCCCCGCCCCCCCCTATTTGTGCGGTGTCATCGTTGAATGCGCAGGGCCTATGCTAATGGTCCTCTGTGTACCACTCCGACCTTTTGAATGCGTGTGATTTAATGGTTGTGATTTAATGCGAAGGACACATTCATGATAGCGGGTCCTTTCGAGATTTGACGTCTCTTCATCTGTATCAGGCCCTCGCTCCACGACTCACCACATGCACAAAAGACAAAGTATGTCCGTGAATCGTTCCATATTCTAGCGGAAGATCCATTGTAAATTTGAACATTTAGCGAGTAGTGAAGCGAGGTCCTTAGGACAGATGGTGAGAGAAGGATTTAAAAGTCTCTCCCTTTAGAGACCGATTGATTGATCAGATTGGACCCCGCCTGTTCCGCAGTGGGGTCAGATGATGGACCCATCTGTGTCTGTGTTGGGACAGACGATGGACCCATCTATTCCTATGTGTGGACAGATGATCGACCCATGTGTCTGCTCCTGTGTTGGGGCAGATTGGACCCATCTGATCCTGTGTTGGGACAGATGATGGACCAGCTGTTCCTCTGTTGGGACAGATGGATCCTCCTCTACACGGATATTTGTGAGGGACTGGGTTTTATCTTCCTCTCTCCAATCTCGCTCTGTAGAGACTAAAAGCGGCGACGAGGTGTGTGGGTGTTTGTGAACAGCGTGTGCGAGGTGAAGGGTGCAGCTTCGGATGTGGCACGCGGATCAAGTGCCGAGTAGAATGTGTGTGTGTGTGTGTGTGAAAGAGAGAGAGAGAGAGAGAGAGAGAGAGAGAGAGAGAGAGAGGTATATCACGGTACGTGTGAGTTGATGTGTGAGGTGAGTTGTCCGCGGTTTGAGCGCATGCTGTGCCCATGGAGCTCGTTTCCTCGGGCTTGTGTGATGGATCGATGCAGGCGGAATAATCGACGTGGCTCGCGCGCGCGCGCGTGCGAGAGAGAGAGAGAGAGAGAGAGAGAGAGAGAGAGAGTTATGACAGTGACTGCACTGAGCGTTTCTTTCCTTCTTACCGCCTCTCTTTCTGACTGGACTCGGAATAGATTCAACGAATGCGCTGATCTTTTGTTTCCTTTTTGCGCCGATCTCTCGTTTCTTTTTTCACTCTTTTATGTTCTTTTCTTGGAAAACTGATTTCGCTCTCTAGTTAGTCTTTAACTTTCTTAATGAACTCTCTCTGAACTCTCTCTGAACTCTCTCTGAACTCTCCCGCATTCTATCAACTTTTTGCTCGATAGTAATTTCTCCAAGCCCTCTCTCAACTTTTCCAATATTCGTTCCATGTTCCAGCGGAAAATGCATGTTTTTAGGGTCGTGTATCTTTCCATGTTCCAGCGGAAAATGCATTCTCATATTACGCAGTCGGTAAGTCTTGATAGAGGGCGTCGCTCCACCACTTACCGACTGTTGTGTAAAATGAGAATGCATCCTCCGCTGGAACATGGAAAGATACACGCCCCTACTTTCTTTTCATGTGCTGAGTGGTGGAGCGAGACCCATAGCCTCTGGTCCTCCTACGCAGGTGGTAGGTGTGGTGGTACTCTGTGGTCGCGATCCGGGTAGCAGGTCCCACGGGCGAATGTATCTGGTCGGTAAGTGGGGCTACCCACATCGCTACCCACGGGAAAAGAGAAAAAAGGAACCGACTTCGCCGAAGATTTTGGCGCGCTTTCTGCTGAAGAAGGTTTTGCGTGCTTCGCGGAAGATCAAGGAGAAAATGGCGCCCAACGGGCGGATTGCTTTTTTTCATTTTTTTTTAATGTTTTTTTTTTTCAAAATCTTAATTATTATTATTATTATTATTATTTTACAAGAACAACCCCAGTGGATGCTAGGGGTGCTGATACGATCAGACTTGTTTTTTTAATGATTGGGTAGTTAGTTGGTATCTCGCCCAACGACCCGGTTGTCGTCCGAGGCAGCTATGCAGGCAAGTTTCACTCTAATTGGCGCGCTTTTGCGTTATCGGCGCGCTTCACGTCATTGGCGCGCATTTGCGGTATTCTATGATGATTGGGTCGATGATGGATTTGTCTATTGAATCGTCGTGTTTCGATGAGAGGGCGCAAACATGCAAAGCACGCCAATGAGAGTGGAAAGCTGTATAGCAAAGCGCACCGATTTGAGTTGGGAGAGCTATCTGGCAAAGCGTGCCAATTTGAGATGGGAGAGCTGTCTGTTAAAAAGCGCGCCAGTTTGAGTTGGAAAGCTGTCTGGCGGGTCCTTGGTGGCCTGGAACGATACATGGAAGACTAATGAGCATAACCCCAGCAGCGCAAGGATGATGACGCGCAGAAGTCGAGAAAAATTGGCGTTCAAATCAGTAATTAAAAAACAGAAAAGAAAAAAAAAGCCGTCCGGCAAAGCGCGCCGATTTGAGTTGGCAAGCTGTCTGACAAAGCGCGCCAATTTTTGAGTCTGCAAGCGGTGCGGCAAAGCGCGCCAATGTCAGTGAGAAGGGGTGAAAAGATCCCCCCACCCCCCACAGCGGGGGAGGTGGAGTTGGGGGGTTGGGGGAGGGGGGGGGTAGAGATGAGGTAGGGGGTAATCGAAGCTACCGGGTAGTTTGCCAAGGGCTGTTAGGCAAACGCACAGCAGATACACTATCATGACACAACTGTTTTTCGTTTTTTTGTTTCAAAGAAATAAAACTTTATTATGAGGGCCCAGTGTCACATAACTGAAATGGAGGGGCTGACTTGTCCTTCGGGGGACATCCGTTATAATCGGAACGATGCAGAGAAGGGTAATTAGCAAATGGCCCTTGCGCAAGCATGATATCTGTTTTTTGATCAGTTTTTTAATATCTGATCCGTGGTCCATCGGACCACACACAAAAAAAAAAGAAAAAAAAAAGGGTTCAAATTTTGAATGCCAAGTATAGAAATTATAGAAAGGAAATAAATGCATGGCCCCTCCGTTTCTTGGTAGCTCAGTTGGGAAGGCACGTAATTTTTTCTCAAAAAAGAAAAAAGAAAAAAAGGCACGTAAGTGGTATTCGGGAGGTCGTGGGTTCAATCCCCCCACCGAGATAATTTGGCTGGCTTCCTTTCGTCGGTATTGGTTTAGGGTCGTTAGACCATAACGGGGGGTGCGGGTGGGGGGTGGGGAGAGGGAGAGTGTTGACCTCCTACACTGCTGTTACTCGATTGGTGTGGGGGTAGTAGGTGGGAGGTGCAGCTACTGCCGATATGCTCGGTCCTTGCGTCAGCTCCCCTCCTCAGCCCCCTCCCGGCGGCCCCACCCTACTCGCTGACCACCGGTGATTAGGGTGGGGGGGAACATCCATACCGTTGATTGTGAGAGGTAGCTATGGTTGTGGGGGTTCCCTGTATAGGCTTAGGAGTAGTGGTAGGTAGGTAGTGTAGGTGAATTTGAGAGGAGAATACGGCTTAGTTAAATAAAAAAACAAGGTGTTTCTGGGCGGAATTCCTGTCCGACTCATCCGTATCCGACATTAATTGTGGCCAGATACAATTGGAAAAGTGCTCGTGTGACTATGTTCTACAAGTACTGGTAATATGAAGGGTTTGCTGTTCCCCTTCGTTGTTCCTTCCCCCCCCCCCTCCCTTTGGAGAGCCTGCACAGGTCGATGTGGCAGCGCACACGTCGTGTCAGATAGTGGTACGACATGGTACCACGTGTTCAATCAAAGAAAATGTGTGTGTGTGTGTGTGTGTGTGTGAGAGAGAGAGAGAGAGAGAGAGAGAGAGAGAGAGAGAGAGGGAGAGGGCGAATGCATGGAGGGGTTGGTTATACGGAGAGTAGGTCGAGTGGAGTTTTTTGTAATTTTATTTTAGGCAAATATGGCAGAGAGAGAGAGAGAGAGAGAGAGAGAGAGAGAGAGAGGGAGAGGGCGAATGCATGGAGGGGTTGGTTATACGGAGAGGGGTTGGTTATACGGAGAGTAGGTCGAGTGGAGTTTTTTGTAATTTTATTGTAGGCAAATATGGCGAATACTATAGTAGTAAAAAAAATATTTTATTATTTTAGGTAAATATCATTAAAATATGTCGAATACGATATTAGCGTATTTAATATTTATTTGTTTAAGATATGTTGAATATGATTGAATTTATTTATTTCAGGTAAATAATAAATATAGTAGGATATATGGATTGAGACCTCGATGAAATATACTGCGAACATTGCTTTACTAGACAACATTCTACATGTATATGGACTGCTATAGTGGACCAGATAAATTTGGACTCGTCCAACATTTTGAATGTATCGGGACCATTGCGGTCTCCAAATACATTGAATGTATCGGGACCATTGCGGTCTCCAAATACATTTAGAATTTTGTGCAGCGAAGGGAAGGCCGTATGTAATAAAATAATCCGAGACAACAAAAAAAGATTTATGGACAAACATCAGATCCTGTGTCCAAATAAAAAATAGGACATGTCATATTTGAAAATTTGAAACTTTAAATTAAATGTTTATAAATAAAATATGAATCAGAAATCAAGAACAAGAGTAGATCTAAACATAGATACTCGTTTACAAAGAGACTCCATCGAAAGTGAAATATGAAATGTGATATGGGAACAAAAGTCTAAGAAGAAAATGAACGAAACTCGGGCACGTTTTCTGATGCTTGTTATGCAACCAATCAATCAATCAATCAATCAATCAATCAATCAATGAATCAATCAATCAGTGAATCAATCAAATGTGTTTATCGCTTGATTAATTAGGACTGACCATCCATCAATCAGTCATTGCCATTCACAAGTGAACAAGACTGAGGCACTTTTTCAAATGGTTGTCATGCGGCGGATCGATCAATCAATCAATGTGAATCATTTAGTGGATGTAAATCAATCAATAGATGAATCAAACCCGTCCATCAACTGAGTAAGCAGGACTGCCCATCCATCGATCACTCGTTGCTATTCACAAGATCAAGGATAATCTGCAGATTGTTTGCCCAGAGCTGTTGATCAATCAATCAACGCCATTTGTAAGGTTGGTATATTCAGTAATGTACTTGATGTGCCAATTGATCAATCAATCAACGACAATCAATCGATCAATCAATCAACGTCATCATCAATTAGTGATGTACCAAGTGATCAATCAATCAATGACAATCAATCGATCAATCAATCAAGGACAATCAGTCGATCAATCAATCAAGGACAATCAGTCGATCAATCAATCAACGACAATCAATGGATCAATCAATCAACGACAATCAATCGATCAATCAATCAACGACATCATCAATTAGTAATTACTTAATCTGGCGATGGACCATTACTCTGGTGATGTACCGTTAATCGGGAGAGGTGAGGGAGGGAGGGAGGGAGGGATATGGTGCTGAATGGCTTTACGAAACATATTACTCATCATTCTGTCTGCTAGATGTGTTACGGCCAATGATTGGATCGCTAATAAGAAAGGGGAAAAAACAAGCCGACCAGTATAGGAAAGGGTTCAGCGCTTTTGTTTTTGTTTTTCCGCTGAGATTCTCTGTGATCAACAATCCGGTATAGGAAAGTCCAATTTATTTTTTATTTTTAAATTGTTTTTTGTCAATGCGATTCTCTGTGATCAACCACAGAAATAAAGTCCAATTTTTATGTTTATAATTGTTTTTTGTCGTACTTGCGTTCCCAATGGCCCACCCTCCCACTTGCTCGCCTGCTTGCCCACCCGCCCGCTCATCCATTCACGTGCCCATGCTCATGCACCGGCCCACCCGCCCGAAGATGCCCGCCTGACCATCTGCACGCCAGTTTGCCCGCCTGATGGTGTGCGCACCAGTTCGCCTACCCCGCCTTTGCGAGCAAGCCGGCTGCGAGTGATTTTGCGCTCTGCCTACACACTTGGCCACATAGAACACAGACAACCGCACATAGAATGCAGTCGCGGCGAGTAGGGAGGAGGGTGTGTGGGGAGATGGGTAGGAAGGGGAATGATGGGGTAGGAGAGGGCACGAGACACAAGGAAGGCTGTGGGGTCTTTTCTGGGGAAAGAGAGACTTTACCATGTTTCTGGATGCCCATCTAGAGTGGGAAGTATTCTATGAGAAACCAGCTAATCAATGGTCGTCCAAATTGTGCTTTGTAAATAAGAGAGAGAGAGAGAGAGAGAGAGAGAGAGAGAGAGAGAGAGAGGGTTTGAAAGTGATATGTAGCTTCAGTGAGAGAGAGAGAGAGAGAGAGAGAGAGAGAGAGAGAGAGAGAGAGAGAAAGTGGAGGATAAGGAGAGAGTGATAACTGGAGGGACAGTAAGAGTGGAGACGGGAAGGGGGCGGGAGAGGTAGGTGGTTGAAGTGCGTGTCTTAGAAAGAAAACCTCAAAAAAAGAGAGAGAGAGTTGGTGGGCAGGGAGAGAAGATCGTGTGGAATGGTTTTGGGGGAGGGGGGGGGAAGGAGAAGAATGGGGGGAAGGGTTGATGGGTAAGGTATGACTTCAGGGCGAACGCATGGAATAGATACTGGCTTTGTCTTTTTTGTGAAGGAATTCGGTGGATGCCTATGCTGCTTAACATGGGACTGATTGTATAGAAAGAAATTGAATAAGATTCTTATGTGTTATGTTCGGGGAAAGAAGCCACTTGTCATATTTCCCATTGACCTTGTTAAATGCGAGCTAGTGCAATTTGTTTTGTCCTCGTCTTGTTCATGGGACTGATAAGGGTTGTGGCTTTTGGTATGACCGGTTTGTCTTTCTGGCAAAAAAATGCAGGTTTTGTCTGTGGTAGGCATATTGCAAGATGAGGTGGATCCTATGGTTTCTGTGATGAGAGTGGAGAAGGCTCCGTTGGAGTCGTACGCAGATGTTGGTGGCCTGGATGCACAAATCCAAGAGATCAAGGAGGCGGTTGAGCTCCCACTGACTCATCCTGAGTTGTATGAGGACATTGGTATCAAACCGCCAAAGGGGGTTATACTGTATGGCGAGCCAGGAACGGGGAAGACGCTTCTAGCCAAGGTTTGGCACCTCTCCCCTTTCCCTCTGTTTTTTGCTTTTTTCGTTTTTCTTTCTCTTTCCCTTTCTTTCCAAATCTGTTGCTCTTGTCTTTTCCCCTCTTTCAACCTCTCTGTCTCGTCTCTTGTTCCTCTCTCTCCCATTCTCTCCGTTTCTTTAGTTGTCGGCATTCCTATGTTCCGATCTCTTTTCTGATGTCGTGTTTACCAAAACTGAACGTATAAACGTACTCTACGTGTCTCCTTGAACGTACTTCTGTGCCATGTGTGTGTGTGTGTGTGTGTGTGTGTGTGTGTGTGTGTGTGTGTGTG